TAACTTGATCATTAGACTGTAAGACTAGAGCACTCGTCATTGGGAATCAAGTAAGGCTCGATTCTATGGATTCCAATGGCCACTTCCTGGCTTCATCAGATCTTTTCCATGTTATTATTGCATTGTCAATTGGTAAATTAAACGTACGCCATATTAGATAAGAATGACGTCACTTTGCTTATTGTGTATCATGAATCCCTTTCATTTGATATTGACTAGGCAAATTATAAATCGATATTTTTGCGGAGACCGCCATATTGAATCTAGAATGACATCACGATGCTTACTGTATTTTCTCATTAAGCGCTTTCAGTTGATCATAGGGGGTAACAATAGAAATCATAAACGCCATTTTGAGGTGGTCGACATATTTGATTTGAAATAACAACACTTTGCTTATTGTGTTTCTCTCAAGTCCTTTCATCTAATGCTCATATTATAGGGGTGACTATGGAAATTGTAAATCGGCCTTTGTCATATTGGATTTAGAATTTCGTCAGTTTTTTCATTGTGTTTATCTCATCAAGCTCTTTCATTTGGTACCCATATCATAAACTATGGAAATGATAAATCGCCATTATATAACATACGCCATATTAGATTGAAAATGGCGGCAGTTAATTCATCCTGTATTATCACAGGAACCAGACAGGGATATAAAATTTTAGCTCAATTAGTTAAAGTTAAATGGTTTAAAATTCAATTCCAGGATTTGTCCCACATTATGCATACTAAAACACATACTAACAGTTACTTGTACAATGCTTGAAAAAAGTGTTAATGCAATTTCACAAATTAGTGTTTTCTGTCTCCCCAAAAGTACTCTGAATTGCCAAAGTATCTAAATAACATTTTGTTAGTTACCTAATTGAACAACTTTGACATCATTTGTATTGTATTATTGCTCACCGTTTACGAATTTCAAATCCCCAGTACAAATACGGCGCGATTCAAATTCGGCTGACATCGAAATGTGTAAGCGTGCGCCGATGGCATCTGTGACCTTGTACTAGGGTTGCTAGGCAACGAGGTGTATTTGGTTTTCAGTGTATACAGGGTGACTTTGAAGTTGAGTCATTAATTTTCAGATATGATTGTAGGAAGGAAGATAAACCAAATATGTGTGTAAAAATAAAAAAAAAAATTAAAAAAAAATTTTTACCTTGTTTTATAAAGTATCCTCCCGACAAGTATTTCAGTGCGGACCTGTATTTGATCGTGAGGTCCCCTGTGAGGTCTTAGTCACCTGATTCACGAGCCCGTTGTACTACATTAACAAAGGCACGAGGGGTTGGTTGCACTCGATTGGGAAACCGATCCGCATAAACATGTGCCATTTTTATTTCGTTTGAGCCACGCAACAGATACAACTATTCACTGACACTGACTGTATACAAATGAATGAAATAATTCGTTCCAAATTCTTTCGCTTTTTTGTTTCCGATGCGATGAACCGAGACGGCGGATATATCCGTTGTCGCCAAACACGAGCACATTGAGACAGGGCGGTATTCAAACTTCCAAAGGGCTATAACTTTGTTACTTTAATTTTACCAGAAAAATGGTAAAGGAAAAAAACATTTCTTTTGATCAGATCTACTCACTGTTAAAATAAATGACTCAACTTCGAAGTCACCCTGTATACAGGGTGTAAAGTTAGTAGTGGATCAACGGAAGTCAGGTGATAGAAGGCCTCAAAACATATCGAATGAACCCTATATGTGTGGTCCGGAATTTTATAGTTCAGAGGATATTTGCAATTTGGGAAATTTCGAAAAAAAAACGGGATAATGAACTTTCAATCGCAATTACAACTAAAGGGATGTTAATTTTTTTGAGATGAGCTAAATGGTTAGTTTTAGCAATGGTTATTTTTTTTATATCGAAGCAGCCGCGCAGGCAGAAGCCTAAATGCCGGAACACCGGCTGCTATAATGATCCCAAAGAAATTTTATTAATACGATTTTTGAACTGCCCAAGGTTAATAGAACTGGGAAAAGCTTCCTCTTGTAGACCGTTCCACAATCTCGACACCCCAGGACAAAGGAGCGGTCGTATCGGCCGGTTCTGGATGTACGAAGTAAGACACGGTTAGGATGAGACGTCAAAGTCAGGCGGGTCTGTCTTGCAGGCACATCGCGCGGCGGCATCATGGAAGAGAGCTCTGAGGAGCCGGTAGAAAAGACTAGACCCGAGCCCGCCGGTGCGAAAGAGTTCCGAGACTGTCTGTTAGAGAAGAGTCATCGGTCAGTCGGACTGCCCTCTTCTGGACAGCATCGAGCATGGATCATGTAGTCGGACAGCACCCTAAACGTGAGAGCAATACTCGAGGCTAGGCCTTATCTGGGACTTGTATAGAGTGAGAAGGTCATGCGGAGAAAATACTTCTTCGCACTACATAAATAGCCTCACTGCTATTGACGAGATATGTTCGTGCCAGATCAGGTCCTCGGTGATCTGGACACCGACCAGCCGAATGAATGGCTCCAGGTCTTTTGTCAGAGAGGAAGTCATCGCTAGTCTTCTTTTTTCCAACTCAGCGCAGATATCGGCTTGTCACTCTAAATTCCTGCATGTAGAGTGCTGTCATCAGCGAAGCTGTGGATTGGAAAGGAGGTAGTTGATATGTAAGAGAAACAGTGTCGGAGCCAAGACCGATCCCTGTGGAACACCGGCGTTGACGTTGTGGGATGAAGAGAACCCGTCAATTACGAAGGATATCTTGCGGCCAGAGATAAAGTCAGCCACCCATCTGCAAAGCTTCTCTGGAGGCCATAGGATGGAAGTTTTCTTAAGAGGGCAGCGTGCCACAGCTGATCGAATGCTTTCGTGATGTCAAGAGCAACGACATGAGCCTCACCATAAGACTGGATGAGTTTACTCCACAGTTGAGTGACGTAAGCTAGGAGGTCCCCTGTGGAGCGTTGGTTGCCGGAAACCATACTGCATGTCGCTAATCAAGCCGTAACGTTCGAGGTAGTCCAGAAGCTCGCGATTTATGCACCTCTCCATCACCTTACTTAAAACAGAAAGCAGAGCTATAGGCTTGTAGTTGTAAGGGTCGGTCGTAGATCCCTTTTTTGGGATGGGTGGGACATGAACAAATTTCCAGTTTTCTGACGCGAAAGAACTGGAGCAAGCTCCGGTGCACATCTCTTCAGTATAATGGCAGGAATCAAGTCCGGACCAGAAGCTTTGTTGATGTCGACCGACAAGAGCACTAATCTTACGGTCTTATGCCGGAATTTTACCCTCCCGCATAGTGTAGGAACCCTTTGAATTGACGGCACTTGGGCGTTGGGGGGGACGTCCATGGTGGATTTGGCAGCAAAGATCTTGGCTAGCACTTCCGCATTGGCCTTTGAGTTGAATACAATAGTTTCATCCTGACACGTAAGTGGTGGAAGGCTACTGTGTGAGAAGTTCTTTTCAATCTGCTTGGCCAGCGTCCAGAAAGGCCGACTGCCATTGCGCGCGACATTACCCTGTGCCTAACTTTTATATCGTGCTGGTTTTTGGCATTGCGAACCGCTGCTTTATATTTGTTTCTGGACTCAACGTCGGCTTGTCTGTTCTCTACAGTGGGGTTTTGTAAGAAGGTTCTGTGTGCCTTGATCTTCTGC